GGACACCAAAAGAGCCGCATGCGGCTCGCGAGCCGCAGGTTGCCGACCCCTGGTCTAATGTGTTCCTATATATGAATAAACTAAAATATTGTTCTGCCTTCGGAGATTTGGAGACAAAGGAAATTGCAAATAACAAATTCCTGAGAGATTTACTTTTGATGGCGGATATCCAATTATTCTAACGGGACGTGTACGATTGGGAAACATTTTTATTTTTAAGAGGGTCAAACATGTTGTTATTTAAACACGTTACGAAAAATATATCATTAAAGTCAATACATTCTTAAATGTAAAATTATACGCATGATACAAAAGTGCAAGTCCCCCATAATGACGAACAGTCAGACTTGTATTGCTTGTGTATTGAATGTATCACATTCAACCAAAATGTGCGTACATCAGACGCACTTTTGAAAATGTGTTGCAATTTAAAGGTGCAACAATAGCAGATGTTACAGCATTCACTGTATTACTTTTTTTAAGGTTCCAAATTTTAAGTAATTATAATTATCGAAATAAAGATTTTGAAAATAGTGTACATATTCATCATTCCTTTGTGGCACCTGGGGAGCAAAGGGCTGCAACTACACATTTCAATCGGACTCGGTTTTGGATGTTTGTGCTGTTTATAAACATACTATTAAGGAGCTGAATGTTACATACTTAGTCTTTTATATTCTGGTAAATGAAAAAGTGAGCTAATGTCTCAAGACATTTTCAATCTGGTCAACATACAAAGAGCTGTGTGTCAAGGGTGAACTTTCTGGTGTGTTAGGTATCGACATTGTAAAAGCTGATTCAACTATCTGGTGTGTTAGGTATAGGCATAGAGAAGGTGGACGATCTAAAATCGACATTGTTAAAGCTGATTCAACTATCTGGTGTGTTAGGTACAGACATAGAGAAGGTGGACGATCTAAACTCGACATTGTTAAAGCTGATTCAACTATCTGGTGTGTTAGGTACAGACATAGAGAAGGGCGACGATCTAAACTCGACATTGTTAAAGCTGATTCAACTATCTGGTGTGTTAGGTATAGACATAGAGAAGGTGGACGATCTAAACTCGACATTGTTAAAGCTGATTCAACTATCTGGTGTGTTATGTATAGACATAGAGAAGGTGGACGATCTAAACTCGACTTTGTTAAAGCTGATTCACCAAACTGCTGTCATCAGTATTCTCTTTGTCGTCATCACCACCATTTTAACCATTACCGTTATTTTACCACCAATATTTCCATCATTATAGTTAGGGCTGTGAGATGGTCTGCTTCTGTGGTTCGGTGTTCTACAATCATGTAAAGCATGCCACTACCATGTAAAACCTGCCACTACCATGTAAAGCCTTCGACTATCATAACCAGCCGATACACATCACAATAATGCAGCTTATAATCGCTCGACAAAATGGATGTGCAATAGATACATACGTTGTAGGTGCGGGGTGATTGGTAAATGGGCGATATATACATGAGTGGCCAATGCCGGCTGCATACAACACAGACACGCTGTAGACTGAAAGCAATTAAAACACATTCAAGACACAATTAAGGCACATTGAGGACGCATTTCAACATTTCTAGTGTAAGATACATTAAACACATACATGATTTAAACGTGTGTTTAAAACACAATTGTATTAATGTAATATTTTATCAACTTTCTAAGAGATTATGTTTCCGCGACTCTGGCCAGGTACTTGTAGGATTTCAATCCAATCATGAAATAACAGTTGACATGACGTGGATTACTAACGTGATAAATCCGATACAGTGTTGCATTCAGTGAAAATATTCTAATATATATTAAGTAAATACGCAATTAGGTTAGAGTTTTGTAATTTTAAAATTGCAATAAAAATAAATGTTTCCAAAATACTACAGGTCTTAATCCAAAAACATATGCTAAATAACATATTGATAGACGTAAACAGATTTTTTTATTGTTCTTGTATGTGTTTTAAAAAAACAGGTCATTAAATTAATTACAAAACTGTGGCCATACGTTATACATTTATCAAAGACAACCGATTAGGTCGGTTATATGTCACTTGTTGGTTTCCTTTAATTATTTATTGCCAGGAATAATTATCTTCTTTATGTCAAATGAAATGGTTAGTTTCAATTTTAAGGGTCACATTTTAGTATAAGAGAAAATATATTTGTTTGGACTGACACATTTGATTTTTTCAACTGTATTAAATGATACTGTCAGTTATCAAGTACCAATAAAGTTTGAAGACATTCATCAACCTGAAATAAATTTAAACTGAGCAACACTCTTTAATCTCAGTAGCGTAGCGAGGGAGGGGGGCGGGGGAGGGGGGGGGCAAAATGGGTTGGAAAAATAAATTGAAAGGTTGAGGGGGGTGCAAATCGAAATCTTGAGGGGGGGGGGTGCAAATCGAAAAGTTTGTCTCCGGGCGCCGGGAAGGGTCGCTACGCCTCTGTTTAATCTACACCAGACACACTGACAGACAAACAGACAACCAAACATACACGGTATTATCAATATTATTTGTACTTATACATCAGACAATTGTCGAAAATTATTGACTTTCTGAATTATGATAAATGAAACAAAGTTAAGTAAAATATTGAGTGCAATATTTGTATAGTGCACAATATCATATACATTATATGTTTGTTCTTACATTTTGTAATTACTCCATATTAGAAAATTTACCTCACACTTTTGTGATGAATATATATATATATATATATATATATATATATATATATATATATATATATATATATATATATATATAAATCATTCAAGACGTTTACTTTTAAAGAAATACAATATAAATAAAAGTACAAAATTAATTTGTGTCTCTCCTAATTTATTTGACTGAACTGAATCGATGCACCAAAAGAGTTCATTTTATAGTATACACCACAGTTGTTGGTCAATGCGCTTTTTTAATCGACATGTTTTGATCTTTAAGTGTAGAACTTTAAGATTATGATGATAAATTATATTCTATTAAAATAATAAGCCATAATGTAGAGAATAGTGGCAGTGGCAGCAATATCATCCACTTTCTAAAACTTACTTTGTCCACATTCTAAAGGTAGTTGTACACAACCTCAGCCATACATTCCACGTGTAGCTACCCATGTCTAGTGAAGTTTAAACAAATGTGTAACCGGTAGACTATTATCTGGGGAAATTAAAAACAAGAAAAATAAATAAAAATAATGTTACATGTGTTCCTGATTTTCTTGTTTGTCTGGAAATAAAACTGTATGTTGTTTATTATTTATCTGCTCTGCTAGTTGGCAGTCAATTATTGAGTCATGCTGGGGTTCCAAAGAAAGTTGGGGAACTAACAAAATGCCTGTTTAGCTGATACGTAAATCATGTACTGTATAAAGTGTTAAATTTAAACAAAATGCTTTAATAGTTTTTTAATTAAAAGTGTCAATCAGTTTAGATGTACCGTAAATATGTACTTTAACAAAAAAAATATCAATATTTAATAAATATTTTATATGTTGCAATTTATTGAATTTAAAATACTGTTTTTTTTAAGTAATATAAATTAGTTTGGCGGAGAAAAATGTATACATTTCAGGGAGTAGCCTACGTCATGATAAGAAGATCTATAGAATGTAGATCTAAATCAAATTTGAATGTTATTGTTCATTTCTTCATATTCTAAAATTGGAAGAGGACGCCATTAGTGTTGTGTGTTTTTTTCTGCAGTTTAAACTTGTTGCAATTGACGTCATTGTTTATTGCGTTCTTGTCACAACCAAATCCAGATAGTCAACTTGATTTCCAAACATTGGCACTATCCAGATGGTCAACTTGATTTCCAAACATTGGCACTATCCAGATGGTCAACTTGATTTCCAAACATTGGCACTATCCAGATGGTCAACTGTCATTAGACAGGTAGGGAAATGACTTTCTGAATAAAATAACATTCCCCGTTTTACGATATTCGAAAAATGCGGTACCTCGACAGTGGCGAGAATGGAATGGTTGCAATGGGGCTGGACACAGCACGGCTGTAATGATGGGCCTGGTGCCCAAGCGGCTGTCTGTATACTTTCTACTGCACATATTCTCACTGTTCTCTGATGTGTTTTTTTTCTTCTGTTTAAACTTGTGTTTCTTTACAGTATAATGTTTGTTATGAGTTTTGAAATTGAAGTAATATGACTTTATAATTGTGCAAGGAGCTGGAGAGCCGCAGGTTGCCGACCCCTGCCCTATGTTCTAATACAGAGGTCTCCAAACTTTTCAGCCCGAGGGCCACATTAACTATCCAATATCAGTTCGGGGGCCAGAGTTTCTTCCAGGCATCTCATAGGGGTGGCAGAGTTCCCCCCCCCCCCCAAAGAACGTCAACCGCCCCCCCCCCCCCAATTTATAATTTATATAGAAATATATACAAATTTCAAATGTCGTCTCCCCCCCCCCCTCCTGGGAAAAAAAGTTTGAAAGAAACACTGTCCAGAGCCGACAACACTCTCGAAGGCCAGGTTTGTTCTCAAATTGTTCTTCACGTATTTCATTCTTGTAAATGTTTGTTCACACAGGTGTGTTGTTCCAAAATTTGAAAGGTACTTTGATGCAAATATTTAATATTAGGAAAGTTTTACTTGGGCAAAAACTTATTAAAACCCAACAGTCCTTCTTTGAACTTGTCTCTAAGGAGGTCATTTGCTTGCAATTCAATGACCTCCAGATGCAGTTCATCGTGTCACTTCTTCTGCCTTTGAAATCAAGTCAGAAAACCGCTACTGAAACTGCATGGTATCTGCAACCAAAGCTACATTTTCAAATTGTTTTGAATTTTCTGGGCAAAGTTCCTCAGCCACCTCCAACAAACATTTTGTTTTCCGTGGAGAAAAAATATCACCGCGGGCCGGATGAGAGGACCTCGCGGGCCGCATACGGCCCGCGGGCCGTAGTTTGGAGATCCCTGTTCTAATACATGGCAGCTTTAAGCAAATTCAAAATATTTTTTTTTTGCGACCATCATTAAGGTTTATTATTAATAAAAAAAATGTATGAAAATTGTTTGCTTCAACAACTTTTAATGCAAATGGTACTGGGTCTGCCAGCATCATAAGAAAAAAAAATTAAGTAGCCTATTAACAAATTATCATAACAAGTCATTTATCAGCTTAAATTACAAAATATTCTCAAGTCATCTACATAATGTAATATTACATAATACAGCTTTAAATTAAAATTGCAGCTAACTAAATGAACAATTAGATCTAGGTCTCTTATTTAATTTTGTCAGCCAATTTTTAATATAAAATAATATAGTAAACAAAATGTAATTTTACACATTAACATGCTGGTGTTGGATGAAAAAGTTTTGGGGTTCTATTTATTATTTTTTAGAAATGACATCATAAGGCTGAGGATCTCTTAAGTACTTGGGATCTTTCAAAATTATTGGCATGTAACCAGACAATCTGGAACGTTTAATTGAACGAGCTACATGTTTTTGCATAGGTATGCACAATCCCGTAATAGCACGACCATAAATGCGGCCTGTAAATGGTGAAACAAATTGGCTCAACAGCCGTACATTTTTATGATCAATTTTTATACCAAATGTACACAAATTGCAGCGTTTATAATCTTTTGAAAATGGATCCTGAATTTCTCCGAGAGGCATATCATCTTTCATTTTGCTCATCAACGTTTCAACTAAAACTGGATCAAAAGTCTTATTACATGTTGGAGTGGTCTGCTTTTTATATTCAAAACGTGGACGTCTGTTTCTTGATCTGATTTTTTTAAAATTGTAGGATTCATCGATAATCTTTGAGGTCGAGCTGAGTGTCGACTCAGAAGAGTCAGAAATGAAGCGAAGGTGAGTTAAAGAATAGCAAGGTTTGACGTTAATTGTCTCAAAAACTGAACGATGAATAGTTCCTTGTGGTCTTAAGCTTGTAACACAGTTGCTTATAAATTTTGAAATATGAAGAGGGTAGCCTGTAATCTGTCCCAGTGACATTTTAGATCCTAGGTACTGTAAGCAAATTCAAAATGAAACTTTAAGACAGATATAAACTATAGGAATAGACATGTTCGACCGACATGTTCATTTGTCTTTTATAATACAATGATTGTTAAGTCAAGGTTTTTCATGTTTACATCAACATGCAACTTTTAATTACAAAGACGTAAGTAGCTCAGAATTGCAATTTATTTGTGATTCCAATTTAAAAGTGTGTTTATTTTATTTCTTATATATTTTTATTTCTGAATATTTTTAAAACCACACTAGTATATTGATGATAATGAACTTTATTTTATGTGTGTTGTTTCCCTTAGAATTTTGATAAAAAATAGAAATGGTAAGTGACTGAAACAACATATTTAACAGATTATATTATTACATAGTGTACAATTACATTCTTACATCTGATGTTATGACAAGATTTATCGTGTTTACATAACATTGTATGAGCATCCACAACAACCTTGTTAAATATTATTTCAGCTTTTTATAACTCAAACGACATGCTTATGTATATTTATTTTCAGTCTGTAAGAATAGATTAGTCTTATAGCGACATTTGGGATTACCTGATAATAGCAGTGGAATAGATGTAGATTGGCTTTAGTCAGATTTCAGCAGCCATAAACTATGATTATGTATGTAGTTCAGGATTTCATGAAAAGAAAGTGTAAGATAATATTTGGCATTATTAGTGAATTACTTAATTTAAAAAAAAATCAATTAAACAGCATGGATAAGTAAATTAATTACAAAAACAATGGCCAAACATTATACATATATCAAAGACTATCAATTGGGTAACTGTAATTGACTGTATATTTAACTTATTGGGAATTTCCTATATACTTTTCTTCTTAGAGTTAAATGTAATTTTTAGTTTCATTTTGTGGGAGCAGTGTAATGTGAGATCACACAGCACATAATTTGACGCTCGGCTTGCCTTAAACACATACGCTCTCTCCACGCCTCTTTAGACACATCTACCCCCTCCCCCTCTGTCCACTTCACCATCAGACATGATAACCCCACATCCCCTTTAACTGTACCAACGACCCCATCACCCACTTCAACATTAATTTCGAATAAATATTCATTTACTTATTTAAAGTTCTAAATCTTGCTTCTTACCCCTCATCTTTCACACAGGAACCTTTTGAAAACTCAATGCAACCAGTATATAAACTGGTCAACATATTTTGTTTCCTTACATAGAAAACGCTTCACTGTCCCATTGACCCACCCCAACCCCCCCCCCCCCCCCCCTCTTTGAACAATTTCCTTTCCACTCACCACCCGGAGTCCTGACACTTTCGTTTGACCTTCACCCCTTTTACTGTTATCCCAAAATTTATTTTATTAAAAAAAAAAAATTTAAAAAATCCTATCCTATTTGTATTCTATCAAAAAGTACATATAGATGTTAGTACAACTACATTTGTATCATTATCTCTAAACGTTCAAAAAAAGTTTTTTCTTATCTCATGGTGCACGTTGAAGTATTCAGCATTTAATGATAAGCGGCTTATAAACTTCCAGTAGAAGACTACCAGTTTTGATAAAGTCCATGGGCTAACGAGTCTTTTTAACAACATTCTCATCAATATAACTTTACATCGATACACCGATTGCTATGTGGTAATCATTAACCATCCTGTAACAATGTTAACCACTTTCGAGTTCTTTACCAGCAAAGTATCACAATCATTCATTTTATATGCTGGATAGTAGTTGGATTTGTCATTTATTTATGTCTATGCTCCTTGTGCTATAAGAATCTGATACACGTTCATCATTGTAATGAAAAGATCTCTTATATTTATATTAAGAAAAAAATTGTGGTCGCAGATTTTAGTGTGATTAAAATAATTTATTTTGGACGGACATTTTTTTTCCAACTGTATTACAATATACTGTCAGTGATCAAGTACGAGTGAAGTTTGAAGACATTCATCAAATAGAAATAAATTTAAACTGAGTGACACTATTTAATCTACAGCAGACACACTGACAAACAGACTACCAAACATACACCGTATTCCCATCTGTATATATATCTACAGATAGGATATTTGTTATAAAAAAAATATTGACATTCTGAATTATGATACATGCAAGATAGCTCCAACGTTTAGTGAAATATTGAGTGCAATATTTGTTAAATACGCAATTTCATATACATTGTTTTGTTTGTTCTTACAAGTTGTAGTTGATAGAAAGTAGAAAATTAAACTCACGTTAAGTACATAAAAACAATATTAAAAAAATAATTTCTTTACTTCAAGACTTTGACTTTCAAACAAACGAAACATAAATACAAACACATAATTAAGTTGTGTTTATTCATTTATTTTACTGAACGAAATCGATACACCGAAATAATTCATTACATAGTTTGAACCAACAGTTGTTGGTTAATTCGCTGTTTTAATCGACAAATTGTGATCTTTGAGTGTAGGACTTTTAGATTATATTAGCCGTCGGTACAAGTTACACGTGGATTATATATATTTATATATATATATATATATATATATATATATATTTATTTAATGTTATGCATTTTTTAGAAGAATATTTTATAAAATAACTATTGGTCAAAACGCAATGTGCTTTACTACATGTTTAACGATATTAGGCACAAAGCAAAGAAATAACTAAATAACTAAAAGTCTGACACATTAAAATAACATAGGCTACTAATACCTATTAGAAAAAAAAACCAAATTATATACATCATTAGTCAATACAACAGCATATTAAATGCACAATTTGATTAAAAGACAAATTATTCCGTTTAAAAACCAGGCTTTTCAATGGCATTTATGTTGTTTTTTAAAGTAATGTGTATTAGTTTTGGCCGAGGAAATTGTATACATTTTATAAATTACGTTTCTATAAGTAAATCTATAGACCTAAATCAAATTTTAATGAAATGGTTCATTTCTTCGTATTCTAAAATTGGAAGATGACGCCATTGGTTTTGTGTACTTTCCGTACTTCAAATATGTCATGTGACTTCATCAATTTCTGCATTCTTGTCACAACTTTTCCAGTTGCATAATTAAAACAGTTTTTCTCCATTCGAATATGCCTTTATTTTTTGGTTTATTTTTCTTCTTTAAATAAAATTGTGTTTATACATTTAAAACATCTACCATATTACTTTCAACTAAAGTCCGTATCAAGTTATCCATATATCGCTGAAGATACTGATATGATAGACTGTGAAAATATGTTGCGGACAGAGAGAGAAAAATTCGCACATGGGCTTTTATATATTAGGACTAATTTTAACAAAGTGAATTGCATTAAAATCATTAGCCATCATGTAGAGAATAGTGGCACAGGCAGCAATATCATCCAACACTCACTAAAACATATTTTCTCCACATTATAAAGGTAGTTTTATACAATGTTAGCCATACATTCCCCCATGTAGCTACCTATGACTAGGGAAGTTAAAAAAAACGTGTAACGGGTAGCTCATCATCTGGTGAAACATACCTCACAATCACAGTCAGCTGATCAATTTTAGGCCGTCAATTATTGAATCATGTTTGGGCCCAAAGAAAGTTGTGAAACAATTAGTTTTCTATCTCAGTGGTTCTTAAACTAGGGTCGATCGAAACCCATGGGTTTTATGAGTCCGTCTAAAGGGCTCGGCTGCTGTCTAGACACACACCAGTCTCATATGTTTCACATTAGGATTTTTCTTAGTGGGTACGATATTAAAATTAAAAACATTATGTTTACCTAAATCATATTTTAAAGACTATGGAACACTTCAGTGAGATGAAAGCTTTCCTATGTGTTCATATTTATCTACTACTATTTTGCCAAACGATGTGTTCTCCATGTAGATTCCTATACGTGTTATTAATAGATACGGTTTTCTTTTCTCTTGCCAAACTTATTCTATGGTGCCGTTCTTAAAAATGTTGTTTCAGCCTGATGTCATATGGTATCGTTGAAATGTTACCTATATTTTATTTTTGCTATAAAAATTGCTAGCGTGTGTATGTAGATATGCTCTAAGTCTGTCCCTCCGTAATGTGGTGTGGTATCTGTTTATTTGAATATAGTATTATTCCTCTGTCCAGTGGCGGAACTAGAAATCAAAGGCTCCCCCGCAAAGAAAAATCTAGGGCCCCTATATATATATATATATATATATATATATATATATATATATATATATATATATATATATATATATATATGATCTATATCCTAACTGAGTAATTTAGTCTACTTCATTGCAATATATAACCATTCTGAGAGAACAAAACAGAAAAAATTAAGTCTAAACTCATACAAACAAAGTAGAAACGTATTCAATATGCTGGTCAAAAATATATAAAGACGTTAGCTTGATTCGTGAATGGTTTCTCGCGTTATGTTTATTGTTTTCCTTTTTGGCTTTTATAATATCAATTTTGAAAACATTGATTTTTATAGCTATACTATTGTATAGTACGTCTTATTTAAATAACAATTCATCGAATCAATTGCTTTTTAATATACATAGTACAAAACCATTTAAATGAGCTTCGTGGGCATCCCTATTTTAAAGAAGGGCAGTAAGTTATGGAAGTAGTGTGAATGTTTACCTACCTTTCAAACTATAGCTCTTGTAGATTTTAACATATTTTTCTACGCAACAATCTCTGCTATAGTAGACCTGTTTTTTTTTTTTACAAAACCACTTTCAAGATGCATGAAAACATATTTTTTTGAAAAAAAAAATGCATTGTTTTTTGGTCGGAACTGGGCCCCTAAACGTCCTGCCCCCCCCCCCCCCCCCCCGCATTGCGGGGTCTGGCGGTATGGTAGTTCCGCCCCTGCCTCTGCCCTGTGTAGTATTACGCTAATACGTATCTATTCTAATTCAATCTAAGTGTGTGAGCCTAAACTGGAAGGTTAACCGTCTAGTAGAGGTTCATTTAGTAATGTTGATGTTACATCATTCTGTTACATCGTCACCATCAGGTCGGTCGAGTTGCTGTTAGTTTGTTTTGTATTAACTCAACATCTGATTGTGTCACAGATTATGTTACATCACATTACCATCAGGTCTAGACTTACTTATCTAATTATAATGTATATTGCTGAAATATGAAAAATAGATAGCCATATTTATTTGCATACTATTTTGATAAAAAGTGTTTTAAAACCTAAATGTGTCTGCATAAACGTATATGTTAATGTTAACAATACAATTATGTAATGTTTATAGTTTTAACGAGGTCTGGCCAATACAGCTATGCATATAATATATTAATAGCATAATACCATTCACAGATACTGTGAATATTTGACGTTTGTTGTATAACCATAGACTTTTCTACAACTACTTTGGTTTAATTGTCTCTTAATTTACTTCTGACATGATCGTTGTTTCCTTTTTGAGTTCATCAAAAAAAAAAGGTTGCAACTTAACCTGAGATAATTTTCTGCTCAATGGACTGCATCGAACCCCGTGTTCATTGTGTAGTAGGACATGCGCCCGTATACGACAAACTCCATCTTAAGTGTTGCAGTGTGTTTCACAGTAAAAAAAAAAAAAAACACTTTTAACGTTATAAATATCACAAACTGTTTTATCTGGAAATTAAAAGTGTTATTCTGTATTGATGAGAGTTATCAAACTGTTAAGATACTGTCTAGAACTAAATGTTTTATTTTTTAAAACTTAAAATACATATTACTATAGCCATTTCTTATTACACTAGGCATGCTGCCCAGCTTCGCTTAGGCTTTCGAAAACATTGAGAATTTGAATGCTTAATTAATTTGCCCGAGGGTCGGTCTACGACCTCAGGAGTTATGAAGAGGTTCCTCCGTGGACATTTTTTTTCGATTTATAGCTCATATAAGGCGCCGGTCAGTAGAGGTCAGTTTTGACCCCCTCATCGTAGACTTTTCGGCCAACCGGCCCCCGTGTTATGTCGCCCCAAGGCAAGATCCTGCCAAATTTGAAGCGCCTGCGGCTTCGGGAAGTGCCCTATCGGACACCCGACAATCTAGATCTAGATCTAGAATCCTAATAGAATTTTTTTTTTAAGATTAGCCCGAGCATTTCGATCGTTAGGGTGGTTGAACTTGTAGCTGAAAAGGGTTGGGCCCTGGATTACATTAAGCCACCCGAACCGTAGTCCGGGTGGCTCCTCCCCGAGTCTCTCGACCCAGGGGGAACATCCAAGGGCGCAACCCCTTTGTTGACGTTGGTTATATCTGCGTCTGAAATGCGAGGTGATGTCATGGTGGGATGATGAAATAGTATATCGATCTTGGACAAAAGGCCGAGAAGCGATGACTTTTTTTTTTTTTTTCTTTTTTATGACAACATGATCGCTTCTCTGTTTTTTGGCCTTGCTTCTTGTCCTTGATACGCTCTTGGTTTGATAGTGGTTTATTCTTGGTTGGTAGTTGTACTTGGTGAGAGTGAGTTTGGTGTCTTGTCGATGATGGTGGAGTTGGTCGAATGGTGTAGAACTTGGGGAGGGTGGTTGAGGTAGTGTTCTTGCGTTGAGATGAGGTATGATGCGCTTAGTAGTAGAGTTGTTCGATGAATTGAGTTGGGCGAGGTGACGTTGAAGAGTGAAGTTTGCTGAGTCGATGGTTTTGAGCTTGGTGAAGTGTTTGGTGGGCGAAGTAGAGCTGTTGGCGCTTGTTTAGGTAAGTTTAGTAGTTGATCTTGAGAGATGGTTAGTTGATTTGCTAGTGTTTGACGGAATCCTCCCACCTAAGATTTCTCCTAGGTAGGTGTCGTCAGAGTGGTAGTGAGTTTATTGGGAGCGAGGTAGTTGCGTTTGACGTAGTAGATGAGTTCGATTTGTTGAACGATCTAGTTGCGTTTGACGTAGTAGATGAGTTCGATTTGTTGGCGATTTTGACATACCTCCCACCTAAGATTTCTCCTAGATGGGTGTCGTCAGTCTGAAAAAAAGAAGGTTGAAAATTAGCCACTCGTACATTTGAAGTCACCCAGTACAAGTACTGGGTGACTCATCTCGAGAGCGTGTGCGTTCGAGGGATGTGTGGGAGCAACCCCACAGCGGTCGTTGGCGAGATTTGCGTGAGTTAGAGTAGTAGATTTGACCGCCTCTCGACCCCGGTAGCCAGCCCTAAAAAGGGCTGACCAACCAAATGGCCAAGATCCGTGTAGATCCATAACAGATACTACACTTTGATCTTAGCCAAAAGGCCGAGAAGCGATGACTTTTTTTCTTTTTTCAGCTCAAACGATTAACATTTTAAGAAAGCAGTGACTGGTATAGAATAAACACCACATCACTCTGACTGACCAGCAGTGAGCTGTTTTTATTGAGAGAGACCAATCGTACATTATTGAAATTGAATGGGCCATTCCCGGAAGAACTGCAATACCGGGCCGACCCGTGGCGAGAGCGGAGCAAGCCCCGGGCATCCCGCCGAGTACCAAAAATCAGTTTAATATCGTAGTGACTCAATGAGCCACGTATCAGATATTAAGCTGATAAGAACATATACTTTTTTTTTTTTTGCGTTTAATAGTTTTCCTTCCACACAGTTCACTCCTAGCCGGGAGCTAGCTGTGTGGAGAGATTGCATGAACAATATATACAAATTATACAGGTTATTACGTACCTAATACAAAACGTCTATATAAATTGGTATTTTTATTAACTTATTACCCATCTTCCTCGTGGTTGTTTCTTCGATTTTGAACTTTGGGTATTCGGGTGGTAGTTTTTTGTATGCTCCTGTATTCCCTGTAGTGGGAGGGATACTGTGCATACGTTACAATCGTACATTTGTTCGCTGGGGTGCTTTTCTTCATAATGTTTAAGTATGTTCGTGTAGGGTTCTTAGTGCCCACAAATCTTACACTGCTTGAGGTGTAGGTGAACTGAGTCTTCGTGCATTTCCCTTTCCGATTTTGATTCGAATCGCTTGGTGCAAAATTTGCAAGGATCTTAGCCAAAAGGCCGAGAAGCGATGACTTTTTTTCTTTTTTCAGCTCAAACGATTAACATTTTAAGAAAGCAGTGACTGGTATAGAATAAACACCACATCACTCTGACTGACCAGCAGTGAGCTGTTTTTATTGAGAGAGACCAATCGTACATTATTGAAATTGAATGGGCCATTCCCGGAAGAACTGCAATACCGGGCCGACCCGTGGCGAGAGCGGAGCAAGCCCCGGGCATCCCGCCGAGTACCAAAAATCAGTTTAATATCGTAGTGACTCAATGAGCCACGTATCAGATATTAAGCTGATAAGAACAGATACCTTTTTTTTTTTTTTTTTTTTTTTTTTTTTGCGTTTAATAGTTTTCCTTCCACACAGTTCACTCCTAGCCGGGAGCTAGCTGTGTGGAGAGATTGCATGAACAATATATACAAATTATACAGGTTATTACGTACCTAATACAAAACGTCTATATAAATTGGTATTTTTATTAACTTATTACCCATCTTCCTCGTGGTTGTTTCTTCGATTTTGAACTTTGGGTATTCGGGTGGTAGTTTTTTGTATGCTCCTGTATTCCCTGTAGTGGGAGGGATACTGTGCATACGTTACAATCGTACATTTGTTCGCTGGGGTGCTTTTCTTCATAATGTTTAAGTATGTTCGTGTAGGGTTCTTAGTGCCCACAAATCTTACACTGCTTGAGGTGTAGGTGTACTGAGTTTTCGTGCATTTCCCTTTCCGATATTGATTCGAATCGCTTGGTGCAAAATTTGCAATGTGTATTGTCGAAAATCAACCTTGTGGGTTTAAGGTTTTTTGATATTGGTTTAGTTTCTGTGGGGCTGTCTTCTTTTTTTCTTTTGGAGCTTGTGTTTGTGTCCATTGCTGGCTCTGGGTTGAGATTGTTTTGTTTGCTGGCCATTTTTGGGGACGTAAATATTGCCCCTTTAGTGCTTGGTTGCGTCGTGGTTAATGAGGCAAAGTTAGGTATGGCAATTGTTGATGCAGTAGATTTGATGGTTGGTAATTCCGTTGTATTTGTGCTGGGATTTATTGGCATACTTGGTGTTGTTGCTGGCTGGGCGGGTGGCGCTGGTTTTTGAGCTGAAGGCTGTTTTTTGGGCGGTGTTTTTGGGTTTGATGCTGCGACTTCGATTGCGGAGTGTTGCTGATTGCTTGGCATGGGGGTCTTGTAGAGCGGGTGGCGCTGTAGATTGAGTTGGTGTTTGATCACTGGGCGTTGATTCTGAATTGAGATCTTGACAGCGGTTGGTCCAGTGTTCGGTAGACGAGCAAGTTTGGCAAGCTTGTTTTCTGTCTTTGATGGCTATTAGAATGTTGAGTGACTTGTTTTTGTAGTTTATTTGTATGTAGTGAGGTATGTTTGCTGGGTTGTCAGTGTATATTGAGAAGCTGCGGTTAGTGGTGAGAGGAATTGTGTATATGGAAGGTTCTTTGTTACTGTAGGGTTGCAGTGCTTTTATAAGTGTACGATCGCTTAGTGTGGGTGGGACCCATCTAAGGGTTCCGTTGATCCTGTCCTTTTCGTGTATAGTGAAGTATAGTGTGTATGGGCCGTGTGTTTTGTGTGTGTTATGTAAGGTAGTGACGTCGAAGGCAGTTGATGTGAAGAACCAGGTGTCTGCTCGTCCATAGTTAAAGAGAAGAGGAAGATCGGTTGTTTGCTTATTAGTAGATGAAGAATATGACCTCTCAGATTGGGTTGACCATTTGAGTTGATTGTGACCTGGATGGTGGGTGAGTCAGCAGGAAATAGTTCCGGGCAGTCTTCTTCAGGTAGGTCCAATATGGCTGTAGTAGCTGAAAAGGGTTGGGCCCTGGATTTCATTAAACCCCCCGGACCGTAGTCCGGGTGGCTCCTCCCCAAGTCTCTCGACCCAGGGGGAACATCCAAGGGCGCAACCCCTTTGCTGGCGTGGATTATATTTGCATATGTCGTCAAGCTAGGTTGTGACATTGTTGGATGCGTAAAGGTTATCACTTGATCGTGCCGAAAAGCCGAGAAGCGATGACGTCATTAGTTAATGTATAAACATTATTGACGTCACAGTTTTATGCGTTCTTTTTCACATCTATAAATGCTTTTCCGGTTGCATAAATAATACTGTTTCTCTACATTCGAATACGCCTTTATTTTTTATTTTTCTTCTTTAAATAAAATTGTGGTTATACATTTAAAACATTTAACATATTATTTTCAACAAAAGTCCGTATAAAGGTATCCATAAATCGCTGCCGATTCTGACGTGATGTACGGCGAAAATATTTTGCGGACAGAGAGAGAGAAGTGCGCACATGGGGAACTATATATTAGGATTGAAAGGTAAAGGGAGACCAATCAATCAAACTAACAGAGCTATATATTATAAAACCTTTAAAAACATATGCTTAAGAAATATGCATTATGCTCATAAAATACATATGTAAAATTAACACGTTTTAGAAAATATTTTAAAAAATTAAGCAAGAATACTAAACTTTATATATAAACGCATTAGGTTTTACAACTAAAAACCGTGACTTGAATGTATATCGTTTTTAAAGAATTAAGATCCAACCCGTTTAGGTAATGCTGCCTGGAATATCTCTTCTGATTGTGAATAATTTTTAACTTTCATACAATAAAATGTATTAAACTCTCATTGATCAGACAGAAACAATATAATAACAGTACAACGAACTGACCAAGAGTTCGTCAGTCTAATTTGAAAGGTAAACTATGCTTTTACTTACAAAATAAAACAGTGAGATATTAAATATGTAAATGTCCATATAAGACAATATTTGATACATTTAAATGGTCATATAATACGATGTAACCATATGTGCAATACATAAAAAGGATAAATAATAAACTATAGCACTATATATGATATGTTATAGGTCTATAACACTATAACCATACCTAATTACGCCGGGACTTTAAAATGTATACATTGGAGTGACACGAATTATTGCAACATGTGTCCAGTAGGTATGTTCTACATGTCTCTAACGGGCCCAGCATATGTCTGGCAAGGGTCTTCTTCTTCTTCTTCTTCGTTTTTAATTATTAGTGTTGAAGGGGATCGATATTTATCTGCCAGTGGGTTTGAACTCGAGACTTTGTTCGAATTTATGATATAATTACCTTTGCGTTGTCTCCCTTGTACTTTTTCCCATATAAAAAATGGCAAAGGTTTTCACACAGTATCTTTACTAATTTAGAACTCTAACCAATACAGAATGAAATATTAATTGTGTATAACGTTTCAATTTCGTTATTATTTTTTTTTAACTGTTAAACACCGCAATGCTTAACAACGAGTTTGTCGTAAATACGTTTTGGTAAAACAGCAGTCCGACAAACTTCGTTCGGGCAATCGAAATTCGTTAATGATTTTTTTTTTTGGAATTTGTCATAAGCCGATTGAGAAGAAAATTATCTCAGGTTAGGGGTGTCCATAAATGACGTCACAATTAGGAGGAAAGAGGGGTTCCGTAATTTTGTGACGGTGTGATGATGGGGAGGGAAGGGTTTACATTATAAAAAGCAATGCTAGAAAACGAATTTTAACTGTTATTTCGCGTTTGAAAAAACTGTTTTAATAAATTGTAATAAAAATTAATTAAAACACTCTATGTTGACAGAGTTCAGACAAGAAATGGGAAAATATTACTTAATTTTGGGGAATTTTGGGGCATTAAAGCTAGTGTTTTGAACGGACACACACTTTGAAAATTCATAATAAACTATTTTGAAGATATGCCAGAGGCGTAGCGAGGGGGGGGGGGGCATATGTCCACGGGCGCGGACCTTAGGGGGGCGCCAAATTGAAATTTTGAGGTGGAGGGGGGTGCAAATGAAAAGTACGATGGTGGTGCAAATCTATAGTTTGAGAGGGAGAGGGGGGTGCAAATCGAAAGTTTGAGGGGGCGGTGCAAATGAAATGTTCGAGTGGGGGGGGTGCAAATCGAAAGTTTCTCCCCGGGCGCCGGTAAGGGTCGCTTAGCCACTGAGATATGCACTTACAATTTTTAGCTGAATGCCCTTAAATATGGAAAAATATTATGAATTCATTATTTATTGGGCTTAAAATATATTTTATGGATGGTGGAAAACCTACGAAGGGGTTAATTTTTCAAGATGGCTGCAGTTTTAATAGTTACCAAGATTTTTCCACGGTTTTTTTATTAGTGGAAATGCATATGTAGATGTATCGTAATAAACCTGTAAAGAAATAACTGTTTTCTAACAAGTATTAAAAAAGTTTTTTTTTTTTTTTACCGGAGCCTTCCCCCTTAAGGCACATTCAACGGCAATTTTGAAGGGGGGGGGGGGGGGGTTGTAGGCTGAGGTGCGACGTCATGTTAGGGGGGGGGGGGGTCTGGCTTTTTGTAACTATTTGTGACTAAGGGGAGTGGCGGGGGAGATAAAAATCGTAAAAAAAAGCGTTAGGTCATTTATGGATGACCCCTAAAGAAGCAATTTTTTTTTGCCTTGCTTAAGATGGAAAAACTAATCAATACAAAATGTGATTAAGAGAAAATTTAGACCGGACAATGATATGAACAATCTTATGATTAAAAAATGTAGTGGTAAAAGATTTGCAGTATGACTTAAAGGTAAATACGTCATAGATATATTTATGTATACTCGTAGTGACTAGGCCTCGTACAAACTATAAGTAACCATAACATAATCGTTTTGATAACTCTATCATATATTTAGGTGTAAAAAGAAAAATTTAAAAACTAAAACTGTTGTATAAAAAAGTATGAAGTGTGCATTCTATCATATTCCTAACAATAATAAACCGCACTAGATAGTAACAAAACAAATAATAGAATCAACTTTTCTATTCAAGTGCTACAACATTCTATACACAATTAACAATTCAATCTTATTAATTTATTTGTAATGAACATATTTAAAATCAAATTCAAACTCAGTATGAAATATAACATTGGGACACTACTACATACATTTTCGTAACATATTATGTGGGTCGGCGTATAAATACATTACGTGACTGTAAACACGTGTATGTCATTTAATAAACTTTAATTAAATACATTATAAGATAATAACTTCTAGAATGTTCTTTATTTTGTAAATATGTTGTTATAGACGGGTGTCAGTGGGGATAAGCTACCGCTGTCTATACAATCATATGTTTCGTGTTAATAAGCTTTATATTATTGCAAGAAACAGTGATTTTATTTAGAGACAAAGTTTCAGTTTTACTGCTTGGTCTAATTAGTCTAATTAAAGGCATGCTAATTACTGATATGTTAATTAATATCGGGCTTTATAGATACAACAAATGGTTTACATATATAATTCAATTTCACGTTTCATA